CAATTGTGGGCAACTAGAGCAAGAATCAGGACCTGAGAACATTGTAGCAAATTATAACGTAGCTGGTTTAGCTTTGAATAAAAAATCTGAATGAATAAAGCATGGTTTATTTTAGGATAATAAATTATAGACTTAAATAAGAGTTTGTTATTGGCTTACTGACTCCAATTCTATCTCAAGCACTATGTGCAAACAGGGATACATGATTTGTGGGATTCTGTCTTACTTTGGGTTTGTCCCTTGCCTAATCCTCTAATCAATCCAGAGGGTGCAAGAAAAGAACAGCTAAAAAGAGAAGAAACAAGCTAGGAATTAGCTAATGAAGCCACAATTATTTTGCTGGTTTGTTTCCAGTTTGCTTAATAATGAATTTATGAACACAGTTGTTGTCTCTTATTTCCTAACCGTCCTAAGATATAAGACTTGCCTTGTTAATCACACAAAGGCAATCACTTATATTCCCATAGGTGGCCACTCTTGAATCATAGAACTTAACTAGCCCAAGTTCCAGCTTTGGACCAATAGGTCTGGATTCTGGCTTAACAATCTCTAACATTATGTCAGTGATTGCACAGCAAGAATTGCTAGTTTTAACATTTTCCTTCCTATGTCAGAAAGACAGAATAACTGTTTTAAAAGGGAATGTCATTGCTAAACAAATGCATGCAACTTCTGTGTAGGACTGGAATAATGCCAGCATGGCTGATCTCTATACTGTATTATATACAAGCCCACATAGGAATCAGGCACAATTGAAGAGTAACAAATTAAGTTATGGGATTATGCATCAAGGTAAAAACTAAGAACCATTTACGAATTATAGTTCTACATATGGACTAACACTGCATTTAAATTTTATGTTTCTCTTAAGACTTTTAATATCTACATTGTTGTTTGATTTATTAAATAAGGACAGGATTCTTGAATTAGACAGAATTTTTTATTAATTCATTGTTCTGACTCATTGAAATTAAAGCGATTATTATTGACTAATAGTTAGATTTTAGAAAACTTCTAAAGGGTTAAACTCAATGTTTTAACAGGGAGGATTAATCTTAGTTCAGCTTTTTATTTACTCTTACACTATTTATAACCCCTTTTCTCTTTTTTTTACTGTGATTTTAAGCCTCTACTAAATAAATACATAAATCTTGAAGTAAGAAAGAAAAAAAATGGGGGTGCTTGGATATATGGCTGCCGAGAGGCTACAGATAAAAGATTGGGGGTTCATATGATGTGGAGAAAGCCAACTGCTACAGAGAGATGCATTTGATTCAGTGGTGGTATTCAGCCAGTTTGCACCACTTCGGCAGAACCGGTAGCTAATTTTTTGTTGCCCAGGCCCAGAACGGACTTCCGGAAGTGGCATCCACACAGAGAACCAGTTGTTCATACATTTGAATCCCACCACTGATTTGATTGATACCATCCATGCATTTGTGCCATTCACACATAGATTCCGCCTGTATGGGGTTTTCCCATTGAGTGGCAGCATCTTTGGAGTTACAAGCTGTGCATGAATGGGCTGAAATGGGCAATATTCCAAACAAATACTAGCCAGGCACTGATTTATTGACAAATAGAAGTTATATTATATTCATTCACATTTTTCTCAGAGATCGTTTGTTACTACTGCTGTATAAACAACAGCAAATTTGATTTTAATGGAAGTGATTTAAATGGAATTTACATTTTACTTCAAAAGTTTAAAATCATGGGATAAATCATGGTTTTAGGAACTGCTCAACTTTGGACGTAAGACTGAATAATGAAGGGACAGAAGCACTAAGAGGCAAACCTATGATTACAAGCAAAGTTGCAAGCATGCTGGCTAGAAATGCATGCCATCCAATATGGAATACAGATTCACACAAGTATTCCCTTGAAAGCTCATACAGAGTAATGAGAAGTGAGCAGCTTTTTAATTTGAACAGCTCCTTTAGAAGCAGAACAGGCTAACAGTATAGTTAAAGCTACTAAATATATATATATGTATACATGTATATGTGCGCATACATACACATATGCATACATACGTATACACATATCTCTGCCAAGCATAGCTAAAGTATATATTTGTTTTACTGATAATACTTACCATGCTTGTTACCTGGATGTAACAACAAAAAGTTTGTTAAAATTTTTCTGTATAAGTGCAATTTCTTAGCAAAATAGGCTACAGCAAATTAAAAAAATAGAAGGGGGTTGCAGTTCATTCAATATTTACAGGAATGTTAAATTTTTACCTAGAACCTGATTCATCAAAAGAGGAAAAAAGGGATTTAAGAATAGTCATGTTGATAACTTTAATAAAACTGAACACCTCGTTCTGGCAACATTAGACTTAAACACTGATGGTGGAAGCTCCTGTATCAAAAATGAGATGCTGCCTATTTTAAGCTAGCTGATGGAGGGTGGGGGATTGATGGCAGGAGAGCAGCTGTTTATAGTGTGTTCTTCCGTCCATCCTGCACAGAACATGAAACCGAAATCTGATCAGGTGTTAATGTTCCAGAAATGGCCCTGACACTTGTGGACCCTTCTCTAAGCTGCCCTTGTAGTCAGAGGGGAGATCCTGAGAACAGCATGGCTGCAGAAGAACCAGAAAATATACTGGCAGGGATGAGAAAGTACCTATTCCAAAGGTTGACCAACTCTCTGACTGATTTTGTTACCTAAGCTTTTGGATTTTGTTACCTAAGCTCTTATAATTTTAAATATGAAAAATAAACAGTGCTAGTTCTAAATCACATCTTATTTTCTGTACACTTATTGTAGAATACATCACAACCACAGCCTATCTACACAAAATTTTGAGTGCAAGAGTCGAGCTATGGATATTCATCTCAGCAACTAAGCCTCCAAAGAAATAATGTTGTTGTTGTTGTTGTTGTTGTTGTTGTTATTATTATTATTATTATTATTATTATTATTATTATTATGCCCCTTTTTATATTTGTAACATAAAGCAGCACAAATACCTAATATCTCCCTCCTATTTTCCCCCAAGAATCTCCTTACCAGCTGGGTTGGGCTGTGAGAGAGTGACTACTAGCCCAAAGCCACCCAGTGGCTTTCATGCCTAAGGGAGAGCTCCTAGACCAGCATTTAACCACTATACCAATCTCTATTATTTTCATATTATACCCTGTCTAGCCAGTCAAAGGGATTCATAACAATTATTAATTGGGGAAGCAAGGTCAAATATGCAGATTCCTTTTCATATTTGGAGACTGTAATGGTTGGGTTCATCTGAAACACTAAGCTTATATTTTTAATCTTGGCTTACCAATAAATCACAGTTGTCTGGGGTATTGACTAAACAATAATCCTATTCTGCACATAATTCTCAGACGCAGCAGGTGAACTCCAGGTAAAAATATTAAGCCATAATATTAAGTCATAACAAGATTACCTGTGTGACCAAGTAACAAAGCAACGTTACTTTGCAACGTTTCATTTTCAGACTTAGTACACTGATTCAGATTCTAGAAGCCTAGCACTGCTATGTCTTTATCAGTGTGTAAGAGCAAAATAGTAGATTTTATACCTTTTAAAAAAGATATATACTACCAAGTAATATTTGTTGCTATGCCTCTGGCTGTTGGCTTGCCTGCTTGATTTCTGGCATAAAGTTATCTCTAGCAGATAATGTCCTTGTTTGTTCTGGAACCAATAAGGATCACCACCCTCTCTCCTGATAATTTTTATTTATTTGGGGATATCTGCAGGACTAAACAGACCTCCCAGCTTTGAAAGTAAGGAAGAGAGAAGATTTGGCCTTCTGTCTTAATCTGCAGTTCTGGCTTAACTCCTAAGAACTGATTAAATCAGTCATTAAAATGTTATATGATGTTTGAGCAACTAGTGAAGAAGTCTACGTCCAATTAAAACTGGATGGGGAATTTAGGCAAGGAGATTAGCAGTAATTACCTAAACTGGAATTTGGCCAAGATACATGACTTAACACCCTTATTCTCCACCTCTGAGTGCACTGGGATCTTTAATGAACTCAAGTAATCAAAACCTTGACTTCTTAAGAAAACCTGCATCTATTTTCGCTGTCAGTTATGCAGCAGTTAATATGAAACAGCTTAAT